ACCACCCAATTCGGCTCTCTTCCGGAACGCTCCAGAACCATTGCAAATTCGACAACTGCAAGCCAGACTGAACAGACCGCGACTCCGCCAGCTCCATGGCCACCAGCCCCTCGAACCCCAAAGCTCTTCCATGGGGAGCCCTACGAAGATGTGGAACACTGGCTGGACCAATGCGATCGAGTCGCCGTCACCAACGAGTGGGCCGAGCACCAGAAACTGCGGTATGTGTATTTCTACCTGGAGGATTCAGCGCGTATTTGGTTTGAGAACCACGAGGCTGCCCCGACAACCTGGCCGGTGTTTCGCTCAGCTGCGGAACACGTATGGTAGCGCAGACCAGAAAGAACAAGCAGAACGTCTCCTCAATTCTCGCAATCAAATACTAAATGAAAGCGTGGCCATGTTCGTTGAAGAGATGTCTCGTCTGTTCCGTCGAGCTGATTCTTCAATGACGGAAGACAAAAAGATACACTTTCTGATGCGGGGTGTCAAGGAGCAACTGTTTGCAAGACTTGTACGAAACCCGCCAGCTACCGTGGCAGAATTTCTCCGTGAAGCGACAACAATGGAGCGAATGCTAAGACAGCAGTCTTCGCAGCGTGAGCGGTCCGACAACTTTGCATGTCTGTCAGCACCCTTGGCAACACCCGACGTCACGAGCGTGAGAAACCTTGCTGAGCTAGTCCGTAGCATTGTACGCGACGAGCTGCAAAAGCTTCGCGCAGTGCCTTCACAACCTCAAGCGGCTGCTCTGACAGACGTCGTCCGTGAAGGGGTGCGGCAGCTGGTACGACAATTTGTGCCGCCTCCAACCGAAGCTCCTCTGCTAACGTATGCAGAAGCTGTATGCACTCCTGCACCGGCAGCCAGCTATTTCTCTCGACCGACCCGCCTGAAGACGCCGCAGAACTTCTCGGGCCTGCCGCACTATGAAAACCCACGACCGATTGGCCTACAGTTGCCGCAGTACTTCTCGGGCCCGCCACACTATGAGAATCCGCGACCTAATGTGCGGAAATCTAGCGTGAGGCGCGCTTCGGACAATCGGCCACTTTGCTACCACTGTGGTGAGCCAGGTCACTTGTACCGGGAGTGCTCGTACAGACAGATGGGCCTACCTGGATTTCGGCCAGACGCTCGTCGGCCCAGGGATGGGGAACTACCCCGCGCTATCGCAGAATGCTTGGCAAGTCTACCGTCTCCGAATCTTCAGCGACGCCAATCACGCTCTCCGTCTCCTCGACGCTCTACGTCCTCGAATCAATACTCTACTTTGGCCGATGTTGTTTCGGGACGATCCACTAGGTCCCCAAATCCACGCCGGGGAAACTAAAATCAGCGGCCTCCGGGGGTAGGACCGCTGTTAAGCTATCGTCAAAGCAGCCTCCTTCGACCCATCCACCGACCTTCGACGATTCCTTTCAGCCGACACCTCAGATCGCTGAGGAACCCATTTCTGCTTTGCCGTTCTTGTCGACAACCACCCAGTAACTAACTGCTCTGGTCGACACCGGCGCCAACTACTCAGTTATCAGCGCTGAACTCAGGAAAGCTACGACTCTTTGGGGGCATGGACCAAACCTTCGGACAGCCGGTGGTCATCTCTTGACACCAGTCAGGAGATGCACCACAAGGCTCCAAATCTGCGAGTCGACGTTGATTGCTTATTTTGTTGTGCTTCCCGAACGCTCCCGGAAAGTTATCCTTGGCATAGATTTCCTTCGCGAGCACGGCGTTGTTATAAATCTTCAAGACTGCCTCGTAACGTTTGCTGACAACTATGGTCCGAAGCCTAGTGATACCGATCCGCAGAAGACTGCGCTTCGCATTGTCGACGACACCGTCACACTTCCGCGACGCACTAGTATGTTCGTTACTGTACAGGGCGACATAGATCATGACAGTAGTGGTGTCACTGAAGCCAACCTTTCGGTGCTCTTGGCTCAGCATATCTGCGTTTCCCGTGGTATTATTCAATTTAAACGTGGGACGACTGAGGCACCAGCTCATTAAATATATCTTCTAGCCTTAGTGCTACCTGCATTGAATAGAGGCCTAAATAAGTACTGCTGTGTGCTCATCTCTTCAAGAAATTTGGAGCTTCGCCCTTTATAGCAATCTTTTAAGGACTTGATGACCGGGAATGCAGTGCATCTCCACACCTGATGGCAGGCACTTGCCTAATTACTACCCCATCTCACCAACAAGCAGCCCCTGTAAGGGGCTTGAACATGTGATATCTTTCATTACCACAAGTTTGCTGAAACCAGTTTGCTCTTTGTTCTGGCATAATTTGGTTTCCAGAAATCAATTTCTTGCAACGGTGAGCCTGCTTCATCGACAAACTGCACATATAATTATTGACCATTCTTCAGTTGCTATTTCTTTATTACTCGAACACCTAATGAAGGGAACCACAAGCTACTACTTTTGACAGAAAGTAAACAAAATATGGTCATCTTATATACCTAGCTTGAGTGAATATTTGCTTAATAATCATTTTACATTTAGAGCTTATATGCCATGGCAGCAAATGCGGAGCGCCACTGACGCCATGCAACAATCTTGTTTGCAATAAACTAGAAGTTTGTTGCCTTGGAAACTGCTTGTTCTAAAATGTCTTTCCAAGGTAAATTGATAAGGGCTCGTTACAGGCTGAAGTCGGTGGTGAGGCTGTCCACCGCATCGCCATTTATGAGACAAGAGACGGCGCGTGTATAATTAGGGCACCCACACGAGGCCTAATGACTGTGCTACATATCTATTTTACGCAGAGCGCCTTCGCATGCTTTGTCTCAATGCACTGCATGCACTTTGCCGCATACCATGGCTGCGTTGCGGCAATGTTGACTATTTAGAAAAGACGTTTGGGGTTCGCGAAAATCTAAGCTAGATAAGGCTCCAAGCAATAAACATTCGTTTAGTTTCTTATTTATTTACATACACCTACCTAAAATGACACTGCTTAAAAAGCCAATTGTCATCATCGGTGACAGCATAATTGTTACTTTAATGCAAGACGAAGCTAAAAGAAAGAACGACGAGTGTAAACGACAGTCCAGCTGATACCGATCAACCCTCAGCAACACAAGTACCACGCGTAGTACGTTCACCAGAACGCTATAGTTGTGGATCAAATAGGTATTCACAAAACACATGGCGTTTAATTCACGCTCGTACAGCTATAGTAATCACTGCTTATAGATTTGGCCGCAAACACTTCGAGAGCTTTAGTGTTATCTACTGAGCACCGCGGGAAATCCGTTCGCCCATTAGCGCCAGGAACTAACAGAAGCGGTAGTGACTTGCATGAGAATCACTTTCTATGACACTCATACGCAACGCAACAAGTCCCCCCCCCCCCCCCCAAGCAGAGGCAGTTCTCCCTATTGAACACAGCTCACGATCCACTACGGAGTCAAGTCGGTTTTAATCGGAGCGCTTTGAGGTTTTGCAAAACGCTCGTGTCATCCGGGGCCAGCAGAAGCAACATGCTTTTTCCAAGTATAGGGCGTCGTTGTTTGAACGATTCGGAGTTCAAATTTCGTCACCTGCGCATCGTAGATATAATCAGCAGGAGATATTGTTGTACCAAGTTATGGCCAATGCAGCGTACACACCAGATATACTTCAATTGGAGCCAGAAAATTGACAGCAACCACTTCTAGATGAGCAATTTTCAAGAATTGTGTAAAGGAGATTTACACCACCTAGCTCATTGGAACTTGCTCAAGGAAGTGCACACGTTCAACACCTGCCATGCGACAATTGTTGCTACCACCGGGAGGCTAATGTGAAGAGACAAATGAACGAAAGACCCCAGAAGGGAGTGGGCAGGCTTACTCTGTACTCGGCGGCAGTGTTCCACCGCCTTAACACATTCTTGCGACGATAAGCTCACACCATAGTTTTTTACAAACTCTATGGCTCACACGTTATCCAAACTTTTGATGTCGTGGAGTGAGGGTCGTTTGTCGAGTGGACAGGCACGACTGCTGTCAATCCACCCAAGTGGAAAATATGTTTCTAATAATGAGACAAATTACACTTAAACTCAGATTTATTATCATCACAGAATTAGCTCACGCTGGCAGAAGCACCGCCAGCGTGTGCTTCCGCAGCCCATCCGGGTAGACCCCACACCCCGGATGGGGCTGGCTTGGGTCTTAGCTGGATGGTCTAATTGAAATGCCCAGCACCTAGAAAGGAAAACCTACATTGCATAGCTCAGAAATGTTGACTGCATCAGAGAAAGCGCTTCGCTTACTACTTCGGGCTGTACCATGCCAGATGCCAAGCCTTGCGAAAGAGGACGTCGTCTTTTTCTTTCGGGAGATCCCGACGGATCGCTGCTGAACACGCCTAGCCTGCTAACCAAGCCGCTCTGGTTAGCGTAACACTCGACATCATGTGTGCATGCAATGAGTGCAGCAAGTGTAGTAACTAGCCCAGAGTGACCGAGCCGGACTGAGAACCAACGCAGAATGCCTTTGTTTTGCAGACGAATAAGTATATATATATATATATATATATATATATATATATATATATATATATATATATATATATATATATATATATATATATATATATATATATATATATATACATATATAGGCGGCTTGCCTATGACGTAACACAAGTGGATGACGTTGAACACGTTTTGACACTGCACTTCTTATCACTTCTCCCTTTCTTTTAAAGATTGAGTTTTTGCACGGGCCTTCGTAGTCGGGTAGACCTTCGTAAGACTTGAGGAGTTGGGGAAGCAGCCACAGCTGGAAGAGATGTTGGTGGCGTTGCCGAAGGAACGGGAACAGCGTTCATGCGTGCTGGAGTGACCGGGCTTAATAGCTGCTCCTGTGGTGACGCGTGCTGCTCCGCGTTGTCGCGGCTGGGCGGTACCGATTAAGAAGTGTCCGCCTTTGGAGCCCTGGGTGACATTAGCGGACGAATCTGGTCTAAGTGACGCCGGGTCGGCCCTTCTGGCGTGACGACTTTCACGAGGCGCGAACCTTCAGAGCCTCTGATGACACCTGGGCACCACCTCCTTCCGTGTCCAAAGTTGCGCACCCACACCGGGTCTCCGGGCTGGAATCTGGAAGGCTGCGAATGACGCCGAGATAAAGATGGCACACAAGTATCCAAGTGTGAACGCACTTAAGCAGCAGTGCTGAAGGAGACTTTCCGCACGGTAGAGGCGTGCGTTGGTAGCCTAGCAATACTCGTGCTAGTTTAACTTCGAGGTCGTTTGCCATCGAGTGTTTAACTAGACCGCCCTTGATAGTGCGAACTGGGCGTTCTGCAAGGCCATTCGATTGCGGGTTGTAAGGGGCACTGCGTAGATGCGTTATGTTGTTATCTGTCATGAACTGGGCAAACTGATGACTTGCAAACTGGGGCCCGTTATCAGACACTGCAGTTTATGGCAAACCAAATGCGCGAATAATTCGCAAAGGCGTGTAATTGTGACTTCGGTAGTTGCTGATCTTACTGAGGGGGCCTCGATCCACTTCGTGTGCGAATCGACGATTATGAGTAGCATGCGCCCTTCTACTGGCCCAGCGTAATCAATGTGAAGCCGTGACCACTTCATCCCTGTTTCTGGCCAACTGATAGGCTTCTGACGATGCGGCATTGCTAGATCTTGTACACATGGCATGCATGCATGAACAAGCGAGACTTTCGATCTCACCATCCAACCCTGGCCACCAGAACAACGTCCGAGTCAGTCTTTTCATCCCCGATGCTCCCTGGTGTGACCGGCGTAACTCTGATAGCATGGGCTCCCGAGCCTTGCTGGGTATGATGACTCGATGACCCCAGTAGAGCAGACCTTCGGCGCTCGACAGTTCCAGTCTAATGCAAAAATAAGGTTGGAGATGACTGACATGTTGAGAGGCGTTTCGGCCATCCATTACGAATGAAGTTTCGGACAATACAAAGATCTTTGTCCGCACTGGTAAGGGCCTTTAAAGCACCCGCTGGCACGTACGTACTGTCAAGCTGCTCCGTGGACAGCATGTATTCTGGCAAGGTTTCGGAGTGAACAACCTCTGGTGTCGGCACTGGCAAACGGCTAAGTGCGTCTGCATTGGCATTTTGTTTCCCGGCCCTGTACTCGATACGGTACCGGTATTGACTTGGAAACAGAGCCCACCTCTGGATACGCACCGACGCCATTGGAGGCACCGGTTGATCTTCTCGTAGCAGGCTCACAAGTGGTTGGTGGTCCATCACCAGCATAAATTCGCGGCTCAACAGGTAGTCGCGAAACTGGGACTCCGAACACCAGCGCCAGAGCTGCCTTCTCGAGCTGGGAATAGTTTTTTTTTTTTTTTCACACGCATCAGTGTGCGTGAACGGAAAGCGATGAGCTTATCGACGTTTCCTATTCGGTGCGAAATGACGGCACCTAAACCCGACGGTGATGCATCGCATTCCAACCGCACTGGTTGGTCAGGCTAAAAATATGCCAGCACGGATGTGCTGAGAAGCGTTCGTTACGCCTGTAGATAAGAATTTTCTTGAGTTGCACCCCACTGCCATTTATGCTCTTTTTCAAGCAGCTTATAGAAGGGGGCCAAGATCGCCGACATGTGCAGTAGGAATCGGTGATAATACGACAGCAGACCTAAAAACGAGCGCAGCGAGGTTCTTTTCCAACGGGTGCAAGCCGTCTTTGTCGATCCGGTGCCCCAAGTAGACGATTGAGTCTTTACGGATGTGACACTTTTCTGCCTTCTGCTTGACACAGTTTTCCTGCAGACGGTGTAAGACGTTCCGAAGAACAGAGTCGTTACCGTCTTGACGCTCGGCTATTAGTACATCGTCCAAGTACACCTGCACGGCTGGAAGGCCAGCCAGGACCGTTTCCATGCGGCGCTGAAAAATCGCGGGAGCCGGGGCAACTCCAAACGGAAGACGGTTATAGCAGAACAGGCCCTTGTGCGTATTCATAACGGCCAGCTTCTTCGCTTCCTCATCCAATGGGATCTGGTTGCACGCGCCCTTCAGATCCAATGTAGTGAAAAGCGATCCCTCACGAAGTGACGCGAAAATATCCTCGATGTTAGGTAGCGGATATTGCCCAGTTACGCACGCAGTATTAATTGTGGTTTTAAAGTCACCGCAGATGCGAAGGGACCCATCTTTCTTTAGTACCGGCACTATTGGTGCCACCCACTCTGAATGTGCTATAGGTGACAATATGCCTTCACTCACTAAGTGTCCCAGTTCCTTTCCACTTTCTCACGAAGAGCGTACGGGATAGGCCGTGCCTTGCGGAACTTAGGGTAAGCGTCTTCTCGAAGGTGAAATTAAACCGGAGGCCCCTGAATTCTTCTAAGCCCAGATTCGAAAAGTGCCGGAAACTGTGCAGAGGCTGTCGCGAGCGACTGACATCGATTGCACTGTTCCGAGAAACTCGCTCGAAAGTATTGACAAGGCTTGGATTAAATCCCTTCCGCAAAGGTGAGGATCAGAACACCCTATAACGATCATGGTGGCAGGGACAGCTTTGCCTGAAAACTGAGCTTGAAGCTGCAGTTCACCGATAATGGGCAGCTTGCCAAGGTAGCAGCTGAGAGTCTGTTTGCATTTTGATAAGCGCAGCCAGCTCAGGTGATGTTTCAGATGCACTTCTTGCGGGATTATTGAAAATGGCGATCCGGTATCAGTGATCATATTTAAGGGTGATCATGGTCATGCCCGTCGACGTTCCGTGGTGGTGGGTGGTTACATCCGGCACTCAGAAATTGTGGGTCCCATCCTCGTCGCCACTGTAGTAACTAGCCCAGAGTGACCTAACCGGACTGAGAACCAACGCAGAATGCCTTTGTTTTTCAGACGAATAAGTATATATATAGGCGGCTTGCCTATGACGTATGTGAATGACGTTGAACACGTTTTGACACTGCACTTCTTATCAGCAAGGATGCCGATTTCATGGCTGACGACCTCGTGCAAGCAGTATATATATGGCTCCCTCTTGATTCTCCCGGGCTGCTGCGCATCTCGCCCGACGGAGATGCTGGCAAACACACAACGACGGACTCCATGCACGAGTTCCTGTGTAATAAAGAAGTTCTGTTTATTGATCACTTATGCAAGACCACGACGTTCATGTAATGAAGCTGTTCGATTCTCGGAAAAAATAATACCTGCTTACAAAAGCGAACATGGATTTACCCAATGCCTCCTAGATTTCTCTTGCCTGCCGGATGAGCGCGAAACGCCCTTCATCTATGACGACGCTGCCTACGTAGGGGTAAAGGTCTTTGTACTTGGCCTTTGCGATGGGCAATTTTGGCGTTTGTTACTAATTTCATAGGCTATGCCTTGTATTGAAGGAGTTGCTTGCTGAATGACGACGTCACTTACGTAAGGTTAATTATAATTACGTGTACGCTTTTGAAAAAAAATTTTACGTTATTTTTGTTGCATATAAGCTCCAAAAACGTAAAATATTATTTGAAGACACCCCTACTTAAGTGACCGCCCCTTCCCAAGTAACCGCTGATAATCCGGCAGGCAATGGAAATCTAGGAGGCGTTGCTCTATATACCCAGGCCTTGACACGAAAGACTTGATGAACATTCTTTCTCTGTCCCTTAAGTCGGTTGAGAAGCCGACAGGTTTCTTTATTATGGGTTAAGTGGCTCAAATAAAATCGTTTCGCAAGTTGGATATGTCAAATATTGCCGCTAATAACAGTATTAGTGGGACTCATCATCTCCGCGAAACTTTCTTGAGTGGGCTTCCACTGTTCCATACGTTTTCTTCCTCCATTTTAAAGGTTTTCCTAGTGTCGTGAACTGGAATATTGTAGACAGCGCTGCGTCACAGAACACCTACCCACCAGTGGCGCGGCGATCAGTTGGCGTCAACAAGGACAACGTAACGAAAAATGTTGGCGGCGGCGCGCCGACGCTACGGCGCACACCTTTAATCGCCTGTCATAAGCAAAGCGTGTGAAGACAAAACTATCCAATGCCAAAGTCAACTGGCAGATTTCGGAATTTTTGGCAGCTGGTAAATGGCGGGTAATTGACAGCCAACGGGTGCCTCCGGGTATAAAATACGGGATGCAACAGATCGGCAAGTGAACATTTGTTCTGCTACGACAAAAAAGTGCACTGCTGACCGCACAGACTTCGATCCTCGTATGTGTTGATCACACACATATCCGCTTTGCTCGTGCTTGACGCGGTTAGGAAAGCTCCGGCAGATCTGGGCGTGCCAAGCTTGCTTGGGTAAAACCGCTCTGCACGCAACGTGCTGCTAAATTTATTACAAGTCGTTTTAGGCAGTGTTACGTTGGTAGATTGCCTGTCTGCTGAGTGGGATGCTTACGATGGACAGTGTTGTAAGTGTCATTTTGCCAGCAGCCGGAACAGGCGGAAGGATGAAGATGAAAGTGGCCAAACAGTTCTACGAGATCCAAGGAAAACCAGTTATGTGCCACACAATAAGTGCATTTCTACAATACAGCTGGATATCGAATATCGTGGTCGTCTATCCCCCTGACAAGCATTCTCTAGTGGTCAGCGCCTTGAAGAGCGTCGATTTGCTGGAAAAGGTTTCACTTGTACCTGGTGGAACGACAAGACATAGGTCAATAATGAACGGCATGAAGCACCTTGAGCAAGATCCACCAGATATCGTGATCATCCACGATGCCGTTCGACCCGTTGTACCGAGACATGTAAGAAATCTTGTGCTTATTGAAATGTGCAACTGGGGTGAGCCTCCTGCTTAAGGCATTAAAAAAAATGTTTTCATATGGTTTACCTGCAGGTATTAGAGGAGGTTGTGCGGGAAGCAAAGCTGCATGGCGGAGCAGGACCTGTCGTGCCTCTTGTATCAACAGTATTGAAGATTGACGGCAAAGGATTCCTCGAGGAGTCGCTAGATCGGTCCAAATATGTCGCGAGTGAGATGCCACAAGCATTTCACTACCAGTTATTGCTAAAAGCGTATGAAATGTGCACAGAAGAGGATTACACTAATGGCACAGAGTGTCTTGCACTTTTACATAAGCACTGTGGAGTAGCACCAAAGTTAGTTCCAGGAGATGATGAACTATTTAAAGTTACATACCGAAAAGATTTGTATGCTGCTGCTGGAATGCTCCAGGGTGCACATAATACTCTACCTTGAATACCAAACTGTATTAGTGATTTTAATTTTTGCCCTAACAGCTGCATGCGATTTCTTACGAGGTAATTAATGTCCATGCATGCTAAATTGCTGTTGAAGTTTTGCAAAGCACATCTTGTGGCAGTAGTATGTTGGAAATTAACATGGCTATTGTGGACATGTTAAATAATGTCATAGGATCTTATTAAGGTGATAGTGTCAAAAAGCTTTTTTTGTAAAAATTGTGGGGTGGGTGTCGTTGGTTGTGAACTAAAAATCATCTTGTCTGTGAACGAAAAATCAAGATGCAAATAAAATAAAAATTTCCAGGGTCCGAGTGAGCATGAAACCCAGGTTGTTGGCTTGGCAAGCAGGTGCTCTACCACACAGCCATGCATCTGCTTGAAATTACAGTAAAAGTAAATTTCTTTGTTTGGGAATGTAGTGAGGATAATGTTCCCGCTTTACACACTCATCCTGCATTCAGGCTTCACCATACAACATCAAATATTGCATTAATATTCCATGCTACAAATCTAAATTGCTATTGAGCGTCGGAACATGTTATTATCATATTGACTTTGTGGTTTCAAGCTGGCCACCCATTGCACAAGGCACACATGTTACTGTACGTATTGCCTTAAGACTGTGTAGTGAGTGCAGGGTACCTATAAAAACACCAAAAATTAAAAGGCCGATAGTCAGAACACCAAAATATTGAAATGCCGAAAAATTATAATACCTAAAAAACTAAATGCCGAAAAATTGAAATGCCTAATTAACATAATGTTGAAAACAACATGAAATTTCATTCACTCCGAGGGACATTGACGATCGAAGACGAAGTGTGGTGCTCTCCCAAAGGAGAACAGCTGACTTTATCTGCAGAGAGCGCTGTGTTTATGTGTTTGACAAGAAACTAGGTCTTAGACACTATATCAGGCATGAGAAGAGAGGAGAATGCACTGCCAGAGTGATTACTGACCTTCGTGTAGAAGACTACTGTAGTACTCCCGAAGACAGTGATACGTGCAATTCGTGCTCTTTCGGAACATCACTTCCTTAAAAAAGGAGCAAACTATGCTAAAGAACAATGCCAAGGGAGTAATTAGAGAACATTATCACTCACAGAATAGGAGCCACAGGTTACGCTGAAATAGTTTGGCAGCTTCTCTGGGCAACTGGTACGATGTCAGCTTTTACAAAGAATCGAGCACAACTTATTTGCCTCAAATGCAATATACAACAAATCGCTCTCCTATGCGCTGACTTATACAGTAATAAATATTTTTCTGTTTTGAAAGATTTAACCATATGCAAAAGGATAATGGCTGTTTCAAAAGAGGGTGAAAGAGTGTGCACATTGTACAAGGCCACGAAAATTTTATCATGGCAACACTCTTTATCTTCCGCTATATAGCTGCAGAAATTTGGACCTTTCGGCATTTCAATGTTTTGGTGCTTTGATTTTTCGGCATTTCAAGTTTTCAGTTTTTCGTCAATTCAGCTTATTGAATTTTTAGTTTTAAATTTTGCCATTACGATAATTTGGCACTTAGATTTTTGGCATTTTGAATGCCACCTTTGGTGGCATAATAAGTTCCAAAACATTTAATGCACATAATTGCTAATGGTTTTTAAAGCATGCTACCCATTACACATAATATAGCCTTATGCGAAAGCTTCATTGACCCAAGCCACTTATGACTATATCGATTACATTGTAGTAATCTGCAATTTAAACTTTTCAAATAACATCATACAATAAAAAGTATGCTTTAGAGATAGGATATCCCCTTCAGCGCCACCCCCAATTTTCTTTTTTCAGGAGTTAAGGGGTTCAGCATCCGCCACTACCACCAGTGAAAAATGTTACTTTTGTGTGTGTGTATATATATATATATATATGTGTGTGTGTAACGTAAATAGGTATTGAGTGAAGGTAGAGGCTGAGGAAGAAGAAGTCAGAGTAGAATAAACATGGGGTATGAGCCAGGCCACATCGCCAATACATCATAGCGTCACAGAGTCGACAGGATGAAGATCTCCCAGCCACTTCATCAGTGTTTCATCGTCGACACAGTTCTCCACAAGACGCCCTGACCATACATCGACTACGGAATCATCTGCTGGCCGCACACAGCGACCAGCACCATGCCAGAGTCATCGACTGACCTTCCCATCCCCAAGTACACCGGAGCAGCGGACGATGGACCTGTACAGGACTGGTTCGACCTGTTCGAGCACCACGCAACCGCTGCATCATGGTCAGAACGGAAGATGGTTGTCAACTTTACCGACTACGTCTCCGGTGAGGCCTTCAAATTCTACCTCACCCACACATATTTCAAAACGACAAGTCATGGGAAAATATAAAACAAGAAATGATCGTTTGGTTTAAAGAATACAATGACGACTACGACGAAGACTTGCTTGTAACCCACCATCCACAGACAACTGCACTCAGTCGTCAATTTTACAGGCAGTCTTCAACCATTCGAACGCACAAGATGATTCGACCTCTGACAAAAGACGAAGTGGCACACGAGTTTAATGGCAGACGACAATGCGTATTTTGGGAAAAACACAGCCATCGAGCGCGCCTCCCTTCTGCACGAAAGTCTGCATTTGCGAAGTCATCGCTTCAGCATATGACCCGAGATGTTGCTCAACCACCTGATGCCGTTCACTCTTCGTCTCGCATACGTGGTCCACCACCTGGATTTTCATCATGCCGTTCTTCAAGCGCTCCTAACGCTCACCATTTGCCTTATAAGGACGCCGTATTTATGGTAGATGACCTGGCGCATCGGGAAAATACCCTGCCGAGCCATGCTCCTTCCGCACGGGTTCATGCATCTCAATCCAGTTCGTACACACTCGACAGTGGAAGCAACGCTGAAGGCTCAGACGCAACGAACGTCGCACGTTGCAATGCGCAAGAGCCTCTCGTAGTGAACAGGGTAGAAGAAGCTTCTGAAGAACTTTCTACCAACTCTGAAGCATTATCTTCATTGCCCGAAGTGCATGACAACAGCCCACAAACTACCAGCTGCCGACTGGGCACCACATAAAGTAGTGAAGAAAACCAGCGCGATGTTCAAGAAGGGATCTCACCGCAATGCGTTCCACAGCAACATCAGCAACACCAGCAAAAGCAAGTCCAAGAATCGCAGACACTCCAACGGATACACCGACAAGGACGACGACGCAAAGTAAGCCTCTTAAAACAAATTCAAGACGTCAGGCATCTTCGCATAAGGGATCGGCGCCAGAAACGCATTTGGCGCAAGAGATCAAGACTGCGCCTATGATTACAGCTCCGAAACAGCAGAAAACGATGAAAGAGACGAGAAGGCACCATCTTCACAACGCAGAGACCAAGACATCATTCTGATTTCATCAGCTGCGACCATCGCACATGCAAACTAGGAGCACACCGTCTGTTGCCGTCACGAGACGCAACTCGACGCCTTCAACATCCGAACTTCAAATGCTACAGAGACTCCCACTCTTGTCCGTTCCTCGCAAGAACTCAACCCATGTCACCACCAGCGCAGATCTCCAGGGTGTGGTTATGCCATCCAAAACGCAACAGTCAGCCTCGCCCACCAGAACTCCTGCGTTAACCGGACTGCTGCACTCTCCACTGAAGTCTTCGAAAGTTTATGGAACTCCTCTGGAGCATAGAACCAATTGTGACTTTTGACATTTGTGACTTTTGAACCTCTCCTTGTTTACTTTTTCTTGTTCATAATTCATGCCTTCTTTCGGGGGGAGGGGGGAATCGTGTAAAGTAAGTAGGTATTGACTGAAGGTAGAGGCTGAGGAAGAAGAAGTCAGAGTAGAATAAACATGGAGTATGAGCAAGGCCACATCGCCAATACATCATCACATTATATAATATATATATATATATATATATATATATATATATATATATATATATATATATATACAGTTAGAAAACATCTACAATGAGAAATTTCTGGTTCTACATAATATTGTTTGTTCATATACCTACGCATGCACACTTACACTACATCACTGCCTGCTGCGTCATTTCACTGTTTCAAATGCACAGCCATGCTGTGAGGAACTTGTGCTAATTAACCATGTATACCATGTATTAACTATGTAACTCTTCTACAAGACATTTTACACGTCTTTACACTATTTGAAAATAACGAACTTTTAAATAGAAAAACCATTATGCAAGTTAATGAGACACTAAATGACAAAGAAAACTACATTTTAATATTTATGTATTCTCAACATTTCCTGCGTTTTTGGCTTCATATCCCGACCATTCATGCTAAATTACCTGGCTGCATGGAATTTGCCGTCAGATTCGAACTTCAATGGTTCTCATCTGTTCATTTCCGTTCAAGTTGGTGCTACCACTTTCCTAGCAAAGGAAGAGAAAGACTCACTGCAACTCTTAGTCAAGTAAAATGTCATAACGATTAATATTAAATTCTTTTTATTTTAATCTGGTGTTTCACGTGCCAACACAAAATGATACGATTATGAGGCATGCCGTAGAGAAGGGCTTTGGGAATTATGACCACCTGGTGTTTTTAACATCATGCAGTACACGACCCTCCAGCATTTTGTCCCCTTCGAAATGCGACTGCCCCTGCATAACGTCACATTGCCGCACATCCTCTCCCTTACTCACTATATACTAAAGCACCTTAACAACTATGCTCCATGGAACCATTGTTGACACACATTCAATCGGTTGAAAGAGCACATCCTGAGTTTGGACAAAAGAAGAGGGGTGCACAAGACATGCACTGTTTTAATGTGCTATTTCACCAAAAGAACTTCAACCAACTGACGCAGCTTACGATCTTAATTCTGTTCAATTTTTTTTTTTGCTCTCGTTGCAGCAGCACAGCGTGCTTGTTTTTCTAAGCATTAGTAATCGCTAGCAAATAAATTCTAGTACTTCATTAAGCACTACCCTTGTGCAAAAGCATCACCACTGTGCTAGTGCTGCCTAGACAGTTAAAAAAAGTCCTATTAGTCTATATTGACGTCAGCACTGCCACACGTAAATGCTTCGGCATAAGCTCGTAGCCCCATTTGGCTTCATTTCTGCTAAAACTTGCAAGACAAGTGCTGCTCGACGTGAAAAGCTCCAAATGTCGTTGTCTTGTCAAAAGTGATGACCTGTTTTCCCACTATATATGAGCATTATGTGGAATAGCAAAAATTTTAAACTAATGCTGCTTTTGTTCTTGCTTTTTGCATTTTCCTTTTCAATTGAAAACCTCAAACAGGGTAGAACATAGAACAGCATATGATCTATAGTTGTAACAATTCTATAGTTGTATTTGTGCC